GGGGTTTCACCATCTTGGCCAGGCTAGTCTTGAACTCCTGACCTCGTGATCCACCCACCTCGGCCTCCCAAAGTGCTGGGATTACAGGCGTGAGCCACCAAATCCGGCCACGACAAGGTTCTTTTACCTCCATTATTAATTGGCCAATATGAAAAAAATAACAGTACCCAATACGCATTGGCCAATAAACTACTCTAGTGGTTAAGTCTGGAGATCAATTTAACAAAAAAATTTCAAAGTCTGTACCCTTTGACCTACTAATTCTATTAGGAATGTCACCTAATAACAGAAATGGACAGCTGTTCAAAGATGACTGTAAAGCAGTACTGAATATTGCAAAGACGTCAGTTATGCTGAAATTAATACATATATTTGGCATTATGTAAAAAAACTAGAAATCATCTAAGTGTCCAGCCATAGAAAAAGAATATGCATTCACACAGTAAAGTGATGATCTATCTGTATGGATCCTTCCTTTTAGGCAGGTGTAATCTATTTCAGGAATATACCTGGCATTGGAATAGTGTCTACAATTTATAGAGTTCTGATACATAATTGACTACTCCCAGCATTACTTTGAGGATAGGTAGATAGTTCCTGTAGTTCAGTAAGTGGCCAGTATGACTACAAACTGGTACCAGTTTCCTCTGAAAAGAGCTAGGGCTCCTGAAGACATGGTTGATTACAATAACCTAGAATATGTTGCCATCACAGAAAACAAAAAATTCTACTAAGGATCACTGAAATAATATCAAAAGGACACAGGTTAATATCCAGTCAGCACTCAGGGGATCTCCTAGTGGCCAAATATGGGACAATTTGAATATCAAAAGGAATAATGGCTGAAAGGCTATTTTTACATGTCCTTGCTGTGATGTACATAATATATGCTCAGCAATCCGTAGAATAATTTATTCTTGAATTTTTATTTACTTTTAAGAAACCATGTGAATATCACCTAACTATTCTGTTAAAAAATCCAACATCAATAATTTGTTTTATGAATTTTTCTCATGAATAATAGAAATTTAAGATATGTTGTAAGAAGATAGAATGAATGCCATCTAAAGACGTATCTTTTATTTTTCAGGATGAAGTTCCTGTTGGAATTAAATCTGCAAGCTACAAGGTATGTATGTAAACCTATTGATGTGTCTAGTATCCTAATGAAAACTTGAAAAATCTGTTTCCTTTGTATCTACTGTCACATTTATCAGCTTCCAATGATGAAACCCCTTGAGAGGTGTTTATACTGAATGGCTCTCTTTCTTTCATTTTTTTTTTTAAATTTTTTTTCTTTCTTTATTTCTTTTTGTTTTTGTTTAACATTTTATTTATTTTATTTTATTATTATTATTTTTTTTGACTGAGTCTCGCTCTGTTGCCCAAGCTGGAGTGCAGTGGTGCGATCTCGTCTCACTGCAACTTCCGCCTCCAGGTTCCAGCGATTCTCCTGTCTCAGTCTCCCGAGTAGCTGGGATTACAGACACTCACCACCATGCCTGGCTAATTTTTGTATTTTGGTAGAGGTGGGATTTCACCATGTTGGCCAGGCTGGTATTGAACTCCTGACCTCAGGTGATCTGCCTGCCTTGGCCTCCCAAAGTGCTGGGATTACAGGCATAAGCCACTATGCCTGGCCTATTTAAAATTTTATTATAGAAAATATCAAAGATAAATAAAAACAGAGGAAAAAATGTATTTGAAAGTCCATACTTTACTCAGATTCCTTTAATTTTTTTTTTTTTTTT